GAGTCTTATAATCAACACTGGCTCTAGAAAAAGTTATTCTCCGTCTTGGGAATCCTTGATTTGTCTTTTCCGTGGTAAAAGAAGCTGGCAAAGTCGCCAAACGTAGTCGGCTCTCCTGCAGCTCTTTCGTAGTGAAAGCAAAAGAGCAACAGGGCAGATAAAACAATAAAGCAAGGCCTCATCTTTCATTAATATGAGAGAAATTCCTTCAATCGTCTTCATTTTAAAGATATGATAGCCCAAACTTTCATACCTTGTGAGTTTAGACGAGGCTCTCTTCTCCCGAGGTAGCGGCCAGAGTCTTTTAACATTAGAGACTAGGTAGCAGTTTGTATGCAACAAATAGAGCCTAACAAATGTATACTAAACTGTTTAAAAGTCGAGAAAAACCAAAGCTTTCTTCACCACTTAGGGCCATGTGCCACATTTACTGTGTATGGAGGTGGAGCATGCATGGCTTGATTGAGCCACACCTTCATTGCAGCCACACCTTTACATTGCTGCAGCTAGTAGCAGTGCAGCAAATATGCCTGAGCTCTTTGACTAAAAAACAAAAGTTCTCTGTCTGTCTCAAAACATTCACTAAGTTTTAATAAATCTAGTACATGCTGAAGCTTCTTCTCTGTCTCAAAACTTTCACCAATTATTTTCTCTTAATTTATTGAAACTGTTACATACAGATTGTGTCGAGGGTACGCACTTTAGTGCTCTCGTTCATTCTGTGTGCTAGATTTTGTCTTTGAGAATGTATATCTTTACAATCGCGTGCTCTAAACCTGTGAGAGCTTCTCTTCTGTTAGGAAAAGTCTTGCTTTACTGCTTCGAGATGTTTCGAGAACAGCTCTAGGTAGTACAAGCTTTTTAACTCACGAGAAAATGCCCAGCAATAGGGGTAGTACTCTGGATGTAAATGAGACTCTTTCCCAGTAGATCAAGACTATTTATTTATTTAATATGTGTGGGACTCTTTAAATCTTCCTTTTTGGTGAGTTATAGCTACTCGAATTTCATCCCGAGTAAAGTGCTGTAGCAGTAGTTCGCTAGTCCATGGCTAGTCAAAGGATCCTAAACTCTCTTAAGTCACTCAATCTATCTAGGCAACAGTATTTGTGCCATTATAACATCATATAGCGCTTAGAAGAAGAGAAAAAAACGTGAAGCTTCCCTCTCACATGGTCTTGCTGCATTAATGCCACGCCTCCAAGCAGGACCAAGCTGGGAGTGG